CCCTCCCCCCCACTCCCCTTCTCTGTCCCCACCTTCTTTCTGTGACGTCTCTAAGTCTTTTTTTTTTTTTTTGTAAGGATAAAGTCTTAAAAAGCCACCAGTCTGAGTCCTTGTGTCTCTTCTCAGACTTCAGACTCTCATCAATGAAGTGGAAGTGGAAGAATCAATCAGACTGGTAACAAGGAGAGGTCTTTTCTCCCTCGTCCTCAGGCAGTCTGCGCGCATCAGCTAGCAGCTGCTGTGTAACTAACCAGGCAGCCCTCCAGTGGCTCAAAACCACAATGGTGTCTTCGGCCCACTGTTCTGTGGGTTGGTGCTTTATTCCAAATCAGGGCATCAGCCACGCTGATTGCTCATGGGGCTTGGGGACGGATGGGCCATGCCCCTCTCCTAGCTACTCGTGGCTCCCGCAGGTGTTGGAGTTCCTTGGCTTGTGGCTGCACCTGCCTCTGTTGTGACAGCTGTCTTCTCTCTGCATCTGTGTCTCCCCCTCTTTTATAAGGATACCACTCAGACTGGATCAGGACCCAGACCACTCCACAGAATTCCCGCCTTCCATGCGGGACCCCATGTTCTGGCGTGGAAAGGACAAACTGCTGTTCAGTTACAACAAAGGTGTATTTCAGATTAATAACATGGCGGAGCAATCTGAAAGTGGAGAGCAGACGTGGGTCATTGCAGCGAGGAGACAGGTGTCCACAGACAGAACCACGGCTTCGCTGGGGCAGTGGAGCTGGTCCCTGTTCCTAGTCTTAAGAGTTATGGCTTATCCAAAGATTCAAAAAAAAAAAAAAACCCAAACTCACTGCCCTCAAGTCAATTCAACTCATAGCGACCCCTCCTTGGCTTTCTGAGGTGGTATCACTACCGAAGTAGATTCCTAGTGTTCTGGTTCCCTAGCGCCACTCTGATAAGAATATACCACCAATGGGACGGCCTTAACAAACAGGAGTTTATTCTTACAATTTGGAGGCTTTAAGTCCACATTCTAAATGCCAGGCTCTAGGAGCTGGGTGAAAGCCCCTCAGCCTTGGGGTCCAGCTCTGCCTCCTGCTCCCAGCCCCCTGGAGCTAGAGGCGTTTCTTCACTCAGACAGCTGCTGGCTGCTGAGGCTGAGAAGCCCAAGGTTGACAAGTCAAAAGGCACAGTCCTGATGTTACCAAACCACACAGCAGCCCATTAATTCAAGTCTATTGTAAGTCCCAAGGTCGGCAGAGCATGGCAGGCTGCTGAACGATGACACGGCTACATGCAGGGTCCAAGCGTGCCACAGGCTAGAGACCATTCCCAAGGCTTCTCCTTATACACAGGAAGCAGACCACATCCCAAAGGCAGCTACTCAGCTGCTTGTGGTAGATCCCACCATGGAGTTGATTGTCAGTCTCATCACGGGGAATAGCTCCCACCAGCTGCCCAGCCAAGCTGACACACAAACTGAACGACCACACCCAGTCTTCCTCCTGAGGAGTGGCTGGTGGTTTGAACTGCCAGCCTTCTGGTTAGCAGTTAGATGCCTTAGGCACTACACTACCAGAGCTCTTATCCAAAGACGAGTGGTTGGAAATGAGCTAAAGATCTCAATTCTTCCTTCCTCAGATGCAGTCGTATTGTCCTGATAGGTTAACTCTGAGGTACCCAGTAAGTTGTCTTTATAGGTGAGAACAGGAACAATATGGATATCTCATCAGATAAAGGAGCTCTGGTGGTATAATGGTTAAGGCATTCAGATAACCAAAAGGTTAGTGGTTCAAACTCACCAGCCACCCCGTGGGACAAAGATGAGGCAGTTTGGCTTCCGTAAAGATTGACAGCCTAGGAAACCATGCGAGGCAGTTCCACTCTGTCCTCTAGGGGCGCTGTGAGTTGGAGTCGACTTGGTGGCAGTGGGTTTGGTTTGGGCTTTGCTTCTGTGAAGATTGACAGCCTTGGAGACCCTGTGGGGCAGTTCCACTCTGTCCTCTAGGGGCGCTGTGGGTCAGAATCGACTCCACGGCAGTGGGTTTGGTTTGGGCTTTGCTTCTGTGAAGACTGACAGCCTTGGAGACCCTGTGGGGCAGTTCCACTCTGTCCTCTAGGGGCGCTGTGAGTCAGAATCAACTCCACGGTAGTGGGTTTGGTTTGGGCTTTGCTTCTGTAAAGATTGACAGCCTTGGAAACCTGTGGGGCAGTTCCACTCTGTCCTCTAGGGGCGCTGTGAGTCAGAATAGACTCCACAGCAGTGGGTTTGGTTTTGGTTTCCATCAGAGAAGCGTTTTCTTTGGTCAGTGACCTCTAACTGTATACAATTAATAGCTTTGTTCCCATCCGCCTGGCAATCACTCCTTAAACTACATTAAGTCTGCCTGGTGAGTCATGAAAATTCTTTGCGTTGTTGCCTGTCAGTGACCCTAGAACAACAGATCCCCGTTAGGTTTTATACTGGGTTCGATGCCTGGCCAATGCACCTTGTGCAGCCACCCCCTGCCTGTCAGTGGAGGCTCGCGTGTTGTTGTGATGCTAGACAGGTGTCAGCCGAGCTTCCAGACTGAGAGAGACTAGGAAGAGAGGGCTGGCAATCTACTTCCAAAACATCAACTGCTGAGAACCCTACAGACCTCATGTCCACTGATGACATCTTCAAAGACCCTATTTCCAAACAAGGTCACGTTCATAGGGTTAGGACTTGAACATAGCATTTTGGGGAGACATATTTCAACCCATAACTGCCTGTGATGACAAAGATGAAGGGGCACGTTCCCACCGTCGAGGAAACCCACTTTCTAAGGCTCCACTCAGCCAGCCGGTATTTCCATCCACCTCCCACGTGTCCGGCACCAGATGCGTTGCCAGACCCCCTGAGGCCACAGCCCCGCACAAGGCAGACACGGGTCAATCCGCCTCATTTGAAGCCCACGTGCTGCCAACTGAGGGTCTGATGACTCAGCTAGTCTCTTCCCGAGATACAGCAAAGGTCAGTGCAGACTCTGACTCCTTCGATCTGGACACTAGTTGGTGGAAAATTACCAGTTGGTCCCATTCAGAGTCTTGGCTCCCTTCGCCCGAGACACCTTCCCCAGCTCAGAGGTCGTCTCTTCAGAGAAGCAGGGGCAACCACTCAAAAGCACCCCAGCCTGCTCCCTCACATCACCCCAGCCCAGTCACTCTTAGGACCCCATTTCTTGTCTCCTAACTGCCCCCCACCCACAGAATTCTCCTGGTCACCCCTTTGCCTGGTTCATTATTGGCTTGAAGCTCAGCCATGAACCCTGGTGGCACAGTGGTTAAGTGCTCAGCTGCTAACTGAAAGGCCGACAGTTAGAACCCACCAGCCCTTCTGCCGAAGAAAGATGTGGTAGTCCACTTCCTTCAAGGTTAAAAACCAAACCAAACTCCCTGCCGTTGAGTCAATTCCGGCTCACAGCACCCCTAGAGGACAGAGTGGAACTGCACCACAGGGTCTCCAAGGCTGTCAATCTTCACAGAAGCAAAGCCCAAACCACACCCACTGCCCTGGAGTGGACTCTGACCCACAGCGCCCCTAGAGGACAGAGTGGAACTGCACCACAGGGTCTCCAAGGCTGTCAATCTTTACAGAAGCAGACTGCATCCTACAGAGGTGAAGTAGCTGGTTGTTCCAACCGCTGAACTTTCCAGCACCTGCTGAGCACTTTAACCACTGTGCTACCAGAGCTCCTCTCAGCTGCCAGAGGGGGGGCAATATGGGACACTGGAGAGGTGGGGGCAGGGTGGCTTCCCTCCTCCCTTTCCCACTTGCACCTTGAGCCTGGAAATACCTTAGTCCTCTAATTTAATCAACTGGATGTGCCACCAGGGAAGAGGGAAATTGGACAGAAGGTTAATTGTAACTAAAAATACCTCCCCCACTTCCTGGGGTAAGTAACCTGTGGCTAGACTCGGAATTCCCGGCAGCAGGGAGGGGGAGAGGCACTTGGGGGGCGGCCGACAGGAGCAGGGGTCTTCCAGTGATGTGTGTGGTTCTGGCTGGGCTCTGGGATGTGGCCTGTTTTGTCTGTGACCACTGTCTGTCCATGGTGGCTGTGCACTTTGAATGTTGAGGTAGGTGTGTGTGTGTGTAAGGGGTATGTGTGTAACTGACAGCACCATGAGTGTGTCCATTGCTGGCCTGAGACGGTGACCTGTTACTGAATATGACTGTGTGTGCCTGTGTGTATGGGAGTCACTGAGTAATGGTTGTGTTGGTGACTGTGATGTTGTGGCATGACATAGGCTGTATGTGTGTGTGTGTCTCTGTGACTCACCAGACTTTGGGTGCTGCTGAGTGTATCTGGCTGGGAGTGTGACAAAAGGTGTGTGTGTCATTGGACACCCATTTCTGTGTGTCTGTGTGGCAGTGTCTCTGTGTAGGTGTGGCTGTGTGTGAAGGTGTCCTTGACTGAGGTTGTGTGTCTGTGTGTGGTTGTGATGGTGAGCCAATGGTGATACCATTAGGGGCCAGTTTGTATGGCCCATAGCTGTGTCTGTGATGTTGTGCCTTTGCCTAAGTGTGTCCTTGTATGTGTTTCTATGAATGTGTGTGTGTGTGTGTGTGTGAATGTAGTTGGTATTGTGAGGCAAAGCAAGTCTTTATAATTGGTGACCACCTAGTCTTGCCCACTGCTGTGTGTCCACGGCAATGTGTGTGTGATATGTATCTCTGTGTGTGACTGTGAGATCATGTGTGGGTCGTGAGTCTTTATAACCGGGGACTACCTTGTATGTGCCCTGCATGTGACGTGTCTTTGCCTAGGTGTGTGTCTTAACGTGTCACTGTCAGCCTGTGTCTGGCTGGGAGTCTATCATTGGGGAAGGCCTCTGTGTGACTTGGTGTCTTTTGTGCGCGTATCCCCACAACTGTAGGGGAGACCAGGGAGGAGGTCATGGCTGGGTCCTGTGGGAAGGCTCCAGGTGGGGACTACAGAGGGAATGAGGGCTCAGTGTCCGGTCTATTTGTAAAGTCCAGCTGATGGGACCGGTCGAGAGTGCCTGGAGGTGTGTGAGAGAAGGGTCAAGAATGACTTCAAGGACTCTGCATGGACTCAGTGGGTGGAGGTGCCTGATTCAGGGAGCCCACAGTCCAGAAAGTAAAGTTCAAACATCTCACCGCTGATGGAGAGACCCAGAGAAAATCAGTAAATGAATGACAAATGATTAATCAATTGAATGAATGAATGCACAAACAAAGAAACCACCAAACGCACTTCCGTCAAGTCGTTTCTGACTCATAGTGACCCTTCCTTGGATTTCCAAGGTGGTATCACTACGAAGTAGATTGCCCAAACTTCCTTCCCAGGCGTGGCTGGTGGGTATGAACAGCCGGCCTTCTGGTTAGAAGTCAAGTGCCTTAGGCACCATGGGTCACAGTTAAAATGGACTCACTGAGATGCGGGAGTAACCCAGGGAAAAGCAAGCGAACTCAGACTTGGAGCGTGAGGCTGCGGAGATAAGGGAATCTTCAGCTTGAAGCCGAGGGCCGTGCGCTCAAGTGTCGGTGGTGAGTAGGGGTGACGGCGTGGGAGGGCCTTGGGCAGACCCCAGGTCCTGCGACATTTCCAGGTGGGAGTGAGAGTGACAGCCAAGGATATGGGTAGGGACAACCAGGAAGGTGGCAGCGGAGTAGGTCAGCAGCAGGTGTGCCCCGCCCAGGTAGGTGCTTCCGGGAGGAGGGAGGCGTGGCCGGAAGTCCAGAGGGAAGGGCTGGGACCTGCCCCTGAGACCCAGAGCACGACCGCCCCCTGGCGGCCACATGGGGTGGTGGGCCTCGGTGCAGCCCGGGGTCCAGCGGCAGCATGACCGCCCGCCCCACCCGGCTGCTCAAAGCGTCCCACGTGGATGGTGCGATGCAGGGTGTAGCCCTAGTTCACCAGAAGCGGAGAGCCGGCGTGGAGACTCGGGAAGGAGTGGCCGCCAAGGGCGCCCTGATCCTGGCCCCGGAATCCGGAAACACCAGAAGCCCCGCCTGGGCCCTGACTCCGCCAGCCATCCGGACGGCGCTCCGCAGCAGGCGGGATGCCAGCTAGACCTTGGGAAGACCCAGGGGGCAGCTGCTGCTTTCTGACAGGGCAGGGGCTGAGCCCGAAGGGCTCCCCGCCAGACCCTCGTGCGAGGATCCCGACGGTTTGGAGACTTAAAGGGCCGAGCCAGGCATGAAGCTTTATTATAAAACCCATTTCCCGCCTCGCCCCTCTGGGCGGCGCCAAGGCCAGCGTCCAGGTCTGGGCTGCGAGGCAGACAGGCCCCGCCGGCTCACACGTGCTGCTTCCGGTGTCGCAGGACCTCGGTGGGCGTGAACACAAAGTCCTTCTGGCAGGTCTCGCAGCGGTAGGGCCTCTGCAGGGCAGATGCTTTCTGGACGGGCTCGGGGGCTGCCTCTTCAGCCCCTGCTGGAGAGGAGGGGAGGAGGGGAGAGGCAGTGAGGAGGCGCTGCCTGTGTGCGGCTCTCCGCCTCTGGGGACGCAGGCATCTCCTCCTCCGGGAAGCCTCCCTTGATTAACACTCCCACACAAGCCAGTCTATAGTCTGTGCTCAGGGGATGAGAGAGAGAGAAAGAGCAAACACAAGCCCTCCCCCTAGGCAGCCGGAGCCCCTGGGTGGGGGCTGACGACCTCCTGCAGCGGACACTGTGGGTGTGGAGGTCTGTTCTGCTCACAGCCGCCCACAGTGACAGCCAGGTGGACTTGACAAAGGCAGAGACAACGAGGGCCACTGAGAAATAGAAGAAGAGAGATGGGCCATGAGAGAGACAGACCCCAGAGAGACAGAGAGAGGCAGAGACCAAGCAGAGACAGAGACAGAGACCACACAGAGACACCAAAGACAGACAGAGACTCAGAGAAGTGAGATGGCGTGGAGGGCCCTGCCCTTGCCACCCTGATGTGGGCTCTCTTGCCAGCCGTATGCCCAGCCCCTCCCACACCCATCCTCACCTGCGAGGCTGTCCCGTGGGGCGTCGGGGCAGGTGTTCTCGTGGGCGATGCGCTCCAGCGGCGTAAGGGGCATGTGCAGGCCGCAGTGGGGGCAGGTCCAGAAGGTGCGGAGACAGTCGCTGTACAGGTCAGTGTCGCTCTGTGGAGGTCAAGGGTCAGGGCTGGGCCCCACTGCTCTCCCCCACTACCTCCCAGAAGCCCTCGGGAAAGGCAGGCACCATTCTGAGACCACATCCTAAAATCCCAGCTCCAGGGACAGGAGAGTGAGCGACCACCATGGGCCCTGTGCTCACCGTGAGGCAGTTGTAGGTGAGGAAGTCTGTGACTATGAAACCCCCTTTGGTGGGATGGGGGGACAGGGTAGAGCTGCCAAAGACTCCGGGGAGACTGGGGGTAGCCATGATGGTCTGGGGTCCCACGTAGAGGTTCTGGACCTCCAGCCCTGTGAGCCGCCGGAGACTGTAGGGAATCTGAGGAAACAGGAATGGGATGTGGTAGGATGCAGATTCCAAGATACCATCAGAGCACCTGGATCCAGCTGTGCCTGAAGCCCTCCCCTGGACGTTTCCATTATGGGAGCCAGTCACATCATGATTTCAGGTACTCGTGACCAGAGTGTCTAATGCCCCCTCCCCCTATCCCACTGCCTCCCCCAGACCCCTGCCCTGCTCCTTGCTGCGAGTGAAACCACATCCTGACCTTGAGTCTGCCCACCTTGCCCCCTCCACCCCCAGCCCTCTCCAGGTCAGCACTGGGTTCCCACCCTTCTGTCCTCAAGCCTGTCCACTCCTCCAGGGAGACATTCTGGATTGCACCCTTCCCCCCACCCACATGGTAGAATCAGGAGCAGTTCTCCGCCCACTGAGGTGCCTGGTTTAAACTCCGCTCTACTCACTTCTTTCCCTTTGTCCTCTGTGAACCTCACGGCCCTCCACTCACATCCTGTGGCCCTTAGCTGTGCAACAGGTGCTGACATGCAGCCCACATGCAGAAGGGGCTTGATAAACATCTGCTGAGTGGGTGGGTGGGTGGCTGGAGTGTGGTTCACAGCATGGCCCCTGGCACCGAGCTCTGGGACGGGACTAGCTCTGGTCCCTGGGGAGGAGTCAGAGCCTCCCTGGCCTGAACCACCCCCATGCGCTGCCGTCAGAGAGGGGCAGGCATCCACGGTGGGTGGCCTGCGAGCCAGCCTTCTGAGTCTCCCTCCTCGTGGAGGGCAGCCCCTCTGGCCATAGTGGCAGGTACCTTGGGCACCATGAACTGCAGCAAGTCCCTGCTCAGGGCTGCCACCTCCTTGTGGCTGACGGTCAGGGCCTCCTCCTCCTCCTCCTCCAGCCGCCGCTTGGTGCAGTGGGCCAGCTGCCGGTCCAGGATGCTTTCCCAGTGGGCACGGAGCTGCAGGGCAGCCGCCAGGAGCCGGACAGCACTCTCAGCATCCGCCAGCTGGAGCTCTAGCCAACCATCGGCCACCAGGCGAGAGCAGTCGCCGCTGGTATCCAGGGAGCGGCTGAAGAGCAGAAGGGACTAGGGGAGGGGGAAAAAGATGGGGTGGGTGTGAGAGGCAGGACGCCATCTTAGAGAAGTTCCCACACAGATGGGCTCCTGCCTCCCCACTCGTTCATCCACTTGCCCATCCACCCTCCCATCAACCTATTCATTCATTTATCCAGCTATCTATCAATGCATTCATCCATGTACCTGCCCATTCATCCATCCATCCATCTGCCCACCCACCCATTCATCTATCCATCCACCCATTCATCCATCCACTTTCCCACCCACCCACCATTCATCCACGTACCTGCCCATCCACCCATCTAGTCATTCACCCATCTATCCACCCACCCACCCATCCATCCATATAGTCATTCACCTGTCTATCCATCCATCCACCCACCCACCCATCCATCTAGTCATTCACCCGTCTATCCACCCACCCACCCATCCATCCATCTAGCCATTCACCCGTCTATCCATCCATCCACCCACCCACCCATCCATCTAGTCATTCACCCGTCTATCCACCCACCCACCCATCCATCCATATAGTTATTCACCCGTCTATCCACCCACCCACCCATCCATCCATCTAGCCATTCACCCGTCTGTCCATCCATCCACCCACCCATCCATCCATCTAGTCATTCACCC